ACTGGAGTGACCAAAAATCTGTTCTAGTAATACTCAGTTAACTCTTTATGAAGATTTTGAAGTATACAATTTTTCAGGAAAGTATGTTAAGGTAATAATTTTTTGGCAACAATGAAAAATGTGCTCCTGTAGATGATTTACCATATATATGAGGTGCACAAGCCTACAGAAAGAGAGCTTCATTGCTTTTTCTGATGATAGGTTTTATCTTCATTCTTCACCCCCATTCACTCCTTAAGGTTCAGCAAGCTGCCTTTCACCACATCATCCAAGTTGAAAAGCTCCTGTTAAATTATGAGGGACTCCTTAGTTGCCATATCGAAAAGTGACTCATCACCTTACTACCTTGCCACAGCATATGAGCCGGCGTCCCCTCCATCCCTGAAGTTCTGTCTTCCCTGCTTTCATCTTACACTCCCCACTCTGTCCCTCTTCCTCTGACCTTTCCTGACCTTCCTTTAACTTTGCCTGCTCCTCGGACTTTGTTCTTACCCAGGGACCTACTATTGGTCCTCTCTACTTCACCTGTCCATACAAACTGACCAGGTCAGGTATGACCTGCATATCCCCCTTTCTTGAGCTCCAAAACCATCTGTCCAACTGCCTACCAGACATTTCCATGTGGGCGAACCATTAGCACCATAATGCATCCTGCAAACTGCACCCATGATTTTCCCTTGCTGAACCCGCTCCCCTTCCCATGTTCTATTATCTTCCTAAATATTCATTTAGTTGCAAAAGCCAGACATGGGGGCATCATTTGTGACTCTTTCCTTTCATTTCTGGCATCAAACAACCTCTTAAATTTCTCTCATATCCATGAAACTTCTCCATTGCTCCTCTGGGAAGCCAAGTTCACGTGGGCGTTGCCTCTAACAGTTTCCGGATTAGCTTCCATGGCGCTAGTCTTAAATCTTCTGGTCTACCCTCCCTGTGTCACCAGACAGACCTTCCTGAGTTTGACTTGTGCTCGGCTTGCAAGGTTCCTTGTTCCTGGCACAGTCCTGTTTGTTTAATCTCACTTCCCCTCCTCTTCCCTCACACTTAACATTCTAGTTAAACCCAGCTCTGTAGTTCTCTAAGTTTCCCGTGCTTCCATGTGTTTATGGCTGGTACCTGCTCTGTTCTCTGCCCAGAGAAGCCCGGGAAGGTCTCAGCAGGGAGATGAACATGGAGTTGAGACTTGCAGGCTGTGCAGGAAGGTGCCTGGCCAGCATGTGGGATCCAGGGCTCCTGGTCTCAGAGAGTGTGTACTTCAGTGGGAGACAGATGAACCCACACTCACGGCACTTTGGGATAAGGGCTGGGTGAACAGGTGTACAAACTGCAGTAGGAAGGCAGTGAAGGAGGTCCGTGAGTATGATACCATCTTTTCAACTAAACTTAAGAAAAATGACTCTGGCTCATTTGCATTTACAAAATAAGCTAAGTCCTCCAAAGCACTGGGTTGAACGTGTTGCCTCACATGTAGCAAAGTAAATCTAAGTGGGACAAAGACATGGATTAGGACATTGTGAAACAAAGCTGAAGACAAGGAAGAGAGGCTTTCTAAACTGCACTCATGAGACTCTATTTTACTGCATTAGAACACACCTCATTTGCTCGCTCCTCTTTCCTGAATGTTGGTGCTCCACAGAACTCTGAACCAGGACTCTCACCTGTTTCTCTGTTCTGTGTCCTTGAGTCCTTCCATTCAATCCCGTGGTTGTTACCTCCCAGAAACATATCTCTAGCTGCGGTCTGTCAGTGCAATTGCTCATGAAACATCTCTGCTTGGAAATTTCACAGCGATCTTTGTTTCACCATGTCCAAAATGGACCTCACCATCTTCCCTACTTTTCCCGCCTCTCCTCTAGACTGCCAACTCCTCTTGCCGTCTTCTTTTCAGTAAATACTATCTAGTGGTCAAATTAAGCCACCTGGGAATCATCCTTGATTCTTTAATCCAATCTATAACCAAACCTTTTCAACTCTGCCTCCTCACTATGACTCAATTCTAGCTGACTCTGCTTTGCTATCCCCCCAATGCAAGCTACATCACCGCAGTCCTTTACGACAAGGAGAACATCTAACTGCATCTACCCTCGCTGCCTGCATCCGCCCACATGTTCTCTGATGGATCCACAGCCAAGTAAGTGATCTTTTAAAAATGTAAACTAGATTGTGTCATCTGTCCCTTATAACCCATTAATGCTAGTGCAACGTGGTGCCCTGGATGGTATCCCAGGACAGAAAAGGATATTGGTAGAAAACCCATAAAATCTGAATAACTTCTGGGCTTTAGTTAACAGTAATGTGCCAGTGTTGGTTTCTTAGTTTTGATACATGTACCAGGGTTACATAAGATGTTATCACTAGTGGAGGGTGGGTGAGGAGGACACAGGAACTCTGTAGTATCTTTGCAACTTTTCTGTAAATATAAAACTATTCCAAAATTAAGTTTATTTAAAAAAATTAGGGGCACCTGGTAGCTCAGTTGGTTAAGTGTCCAACTCTTGATTTGGGGCTCAGGTCATGGGCTCAGGGTCATGGGATTGAGCCTCTTGTCAGGCTCTGCTCAGCAGGGAGTCTGCTTGAGATTCTCCCTGCCCCCCCATATGCTCTCTCTCTCTCTCAAATAAATAAAGAAATCTTTTTCTTTTTTTTTTTTTAAAGATTTTATTTATTTGACAGCGACACAGCGAGAGAGGGAACACAAGCAGGGGGAGCAGGAGAGGGAGAAGCAGGCTTCCCGCGGAGCAGGGAGCCCGATGCGGGGCTTGATCCCAGAACCCTGGGATCATGACCTGAGCCGAAGGCAGACACTTAATGACTGAGCCACCCAGGCGCCCCTAAATAGAGAAATCTTAAAAAAAATTAGTGGCACTCATTTCCCTGATGTTACAGTCCAAAACCCTCAACACAAGCAGCTTTCTCTCTCTAGCCAGACTAAATTTAATTCTTCCAGTGAGATAAGTTTCTTCCTTGCTTCCAAGTATTCAGTGTCTGGCCCATTAATAAATGCTTGATAAATATTTGTTGAAAATCAACGAACATTACATTTTTTAAATCAAAAGATTAATTATAAATTTGGGGATTGATAGATCTTGGGAATTCGTAAGCTAACTGAGTTGGGTTTTCGGTAGGAATCAGGACAGCCCAGACAATCCGTGAGCTGTTTGTGGTATGTGACTGTCCTATGCTCTCCTTACCTCCCTCCCTCTGCCCTTCCAGCCTGCTCTCCTTGAAATTCAGCACCAGCCCCCTCCCAGCTGTGGAGACCCGGTGCCCATTTATGTTAATGGGAGGAAGAAATGGCTTCTCCTCCCATCCTCAGAACTGTCTTCTCCCACCCACTCTGCTCCTGTCTGGCTTCCCACAACCCACTTGTAGACAATTTAACAGTGTGTTTCTGGAAACAATGCTGCCTCCTTTCAGGTCTTAACTACTAGAGTTATTCCAATGGTAGGAATTTCAAGCCAGGTAAGAGGAGCCATATCAGGCTGCCAGATGGTGGGGGAGATAGGTGTGGGTGAGCAGAATTCAGACTGAAGCAAGGGAGACGGGATCAGGTGTTGTAATAACAGTCGAGAAAAGGAGTCAGGTGACCCTCGTTATGTATTATAGAACCCTGTTATAATATCCCTTATTATTACTTGAACTTGGATTTAACCTGGGACAAGCCCTTTTCTTTTCATGCTTCTGCCTTCCTACCCCCTGTTATATCTTTTCCCCTACTAAGTTATCACTCTTACTAATGATAATAAGAAGAAATAACTATTACTAATTAGATCATCACTTCATCTACCCAGAATATTTCCCCCAGTTTTTCAGATGAGCAAACTCATTCCCAAGGTCATCTGCTGCTGCTAACCGAGATCTGGGATTTGAGCTCGTCTTTCTGGCTCCAGAACTCTTGTTCTGCCCTCCTGTGGATGACCTAGGGGGATTTGCTCTAAACACTACATCTCTTAATGAAAAAAAAAAACATGAATGCAGCAGGTCTTAGAGACAGTGAAGGGGGAGCATTAGAATCCTAATCTCAAGCAGGCTCTCCAGAGGGAAGCTGGAGGAGGGTTGGGATTCAGTGGGATGTTTCTGTTTCCTCATCATGTTTTGGTGAGGATAGAAACTCTATTGCCAAATCCCATCTGGAAGCAATGTTTTAAATATTCTCCCCGTAACCTGCCCCCACCCCCGCCACTCCCCAACACCAGTTTTCTTTGCACACTCCAAGGTGATAGACAGAAGAATTTAATACATTTAATGCTTTTCCTTCCATTTACACGATCATAAATTACAAAGTAGTATTCACTTCACAAAATAAAACCATTTTCAGATAATTTTTTGACAGTATCAAGAAGTACATAAGCTACAACCAACAAATCTGTACAGTTGGGAGGAACAATAATAGCAGGGACCCAGCAGAACCATTTTGACCCCTCCCCCCCCACCGTGTGCCAACGGAGTCCGTCCGCGTAGCCCTTGGAACTGTCCAGGACGATTGCACTGCCTTCCTCCTTTCAGCTCACGCACCACACAGTAATTCTCTTCTGGTCACTCCCAAATAAAACTAGCCAGTAAGTACATGGATCATCTCAGACAATCAGAGGAAAAGACATTGTAGTTGGATTTCAGAAAAAAAAATTTAAATTTACAGGTTTTGATGCTTTAAATATTTTACCTATGTTACCAAATATAGAGATCTTGCTGTGAAAAGCTCATGCTAAGCTAAATTTATAACCCGGAAGATGGAACTATTGCGATCAAATCGTATTAAATTATGATCCATACAGAGCTACTTTTATCAAGTAGGAATATTTGTAAAAACCAAACTTATTCATTCTTACTTTGAAAAATAGGCTTGTTTATAAAACAAAAATGGAAAAAAATCAGTAATCAGTAATTCACTTTTCATAAATACAGAAATGTGACAACAATACAACTCGCCATTAATCGGTTACTTCCGAGTGCTAGCCTGAAAAGACATAGGGAAAGTGCTCACTTTTTACATGGCCCAGATTCAACCAGTGTTCCCACATCATTTTATGTAAAATGACCACATTCTGCATGTTCTGGGATATACACACATGATAAGGAAAGACTCTGACCAATGCCAAAACATACTTTGGGATTTCACAAAACTTTTATGGAAAGAAAATCTGGATGTTTCAGACCATCCTACAATTGCTATAAACATATACCGTACGACTGCAAGATGCCCGTGCTTAACAGCAAAACCTATCAAAAGCAGGGACACAGGTGGCCGGTGAACTTCCATTGCAAAGCACTAATAAGGACAGAGGTATGTCAAGATAATACTGCATTCATGGTAAACTTTTTCAGGGATCACAGCAAGAAGCAGGACAAGGTACACAGGGTCATAATCAATGCACTGCATTGAGTTCTATTTGCTGAAATAAAGTAACATTCTTGCAGCTAAAATAAAAATACATTTTACAATATAAGTTTCATTTAACATTTAACATAGAATTGTCTTCTTCTTGTAAGTGGAAAATGTATAACTGTATCAAGTACCTCTATGAATTAAATTCCCTTTTATTACTGATAAGACTGAAGCGTAAAGATCTACCTTGTTTTTTTTTAATAAGTTAAAGAAAGATTTATTAATCACTCTTCCAGCAAAACAGACATATGTAGGAGGCACAGCAAAGACCCAAGACAGAGCCTTTGGTCACTCTCACCCCTGCTGTTCTCACGTGGAGGAGGCGGGTGTCTATGAGACACAGTAGCCGACTTGACAATCCACTGCGGTCCAGGAAATTCTGTCACTTGTTTAAAAAAGAAATCAAGTGTAAGAAGTGTTTTTGTTCCTTTAGCCTTATCAACAAGATGGGGCTGGGGCCATTCGTCTCATTTCCCTGGTGGATTAAAACAAAACATCTTCATTTTCTATTAAAATCTGCACAATCAGCTTTTGGTACCGCATGTCATGGAGGGTGGTGAGGGTGCTGTCCTCAGGGGACCTCATCAGCGTGGGCCCAAACACGATCCCCAGATTTTCAGCATTCATGAAATTGTCCTTCTCATTCATTGTCACCCTGCAAAATAGACACATACACAGAGATGTTACATAGACTTGCGGATGAATTTTTATACTCATTATGCATGTATGCTCCCAAGAATTTCTCTGGTTTGGGAAGTTGTAAAAGAAAATTGAGAATCAGAATTATAGAAAAGTATTTTTTTTAATTTTTAAAAGATTTTATTTATTTATTTGAGAGAGAGAGAATGAGAGACAGAGAGCACAAGAGGGAAGAGGGTCAGAGGGAGAAGCAGACCCCCCGCTGAGCAGGGAGCCCGAAGCAGGACTCGATCCAAGGATTCTGGGATCATGACCTGAGCCAAAGGCAGTCGCTTAAGCAACTGAGCCACCCAGGCGCCCCTAGAAAGGTATTTTTTTTAAAGGTAATTTTTGGGGGGCACCTGGGTGGCTCAGTTGGTTAAGCATCCGACTCTTGATTTTGGCTCAGGTCATGATCTCAGGCTCATGGGATTGAGCCCCACTTTGGGCCCAGCACTCAGCATGGAGTCTGCTTGTCCCTCTCCCTCTGCCCCTCTCCCTGCTTACGCTCTCCCATGCTCTCACTCTCTCAGATAAATAAGTAAATAAGTAAATAAATAAAGCTTTTTTAAAAAAGGTAACTTTCTGATTTTTTTTTCTTTTTACATTGTTGACATTGCCTTCAGCCAGTGGAAGTGAATTACTTAGTGAATCTGGTAGAGACACATCTTTAAAATTAGAAAATCAGTCCTTCTTACTAAATAAATGTGGAAATGTGATTAGGGGATATTGGTTGAAAGGGGCAGCAGATTCTTAGCTGGCCCATGGTACATACAGATTTTAGTCTAGGCTTGTATGGAAGTCTTTTCTTCCCCATAGCTGCTTCCTGCTGGTCTGGATGCTCCCGGGCAGGGAAGCTGAGGACAGATCTCCGGTCTGCTGGCAGGCCTAGTGTCAGAGGGGCAAGGTTACTGTAGGATGGGGCTGCCACAAGCGTAGGGAGAGCCAGACCATTATCACGGGACAGGGGAATGGCTGGAATGGGGCCAAACAGGAAAACAGTTGGACATTATTTCTAGTTCCCACAGGATGAGGTCTGGAGCAGTAATTATTGTTGGAATTGAAAATCATCATTTCAACATCCAGATGAGAACAGCAAAGCCTTTAAGAATAAAAGTCAAACTCCAGAGCTGGCTTAATACCTTCCTAGTGGGATAAAATTACAGTCTGCTAGAGTCTTGTTTTAAGGAATTGAGGTTTTTTGGATGTTCGTAGTAGAACTAAAAGACAGTAGGTTATCCATAGAAGGGCAAAATATGATTAAAACATGTTTAGGTTCCACACAGAAGGCCATCCCTTTGTTTTTATTCTCTTGGAGCTAATTAAGATTGGCCACTTAGTATTCTTTTAGGAAGGCCAATTCGGCTTGCATTATTTTCCTGTTGCAAAACTAAGGAGGTAGAAAAGAGGAACATTCTTCATTATCAAATTGCTCACATCTACCCATTAAGTCAGGCACCACACCTGGCCAAACAAGGTGGCTGACAAACCCTCCATGGTAAAAATACGAAATTATTGGCATTAAAGATTCAACTGGGACATATCAGCATTTTTCCTAATAATGATTCTTTGCCTTCCAAACTGTAACAATTAGAACTAATTTCTTTCTAAGGAAATAATTTATGGCTAACTAAAAGCCAGGCTGGCATTCATAGTCTATTACTTATTCAAAAATTGCTCATACTCTTAAATTCAATAGATTAATCAAAATTGACACCTTCTGAGCTAAATGTTATTACATCTCTGATCACCATGAATATGAGCAACAATATTTTTATGTTTTAAACGGTAAAAAACAAAAACTTCAACACCAAGAGTTTATATTCTCAACTTGCTTCCTTTCACTTTTGAATGGATCTGTAAACTAGTCAGTGCAGACAATTTTTGGTTCATTTTATCTAAGAATGGGCCACTTTTTTGTGTCTTCCAAAAACACAGAGGAAGGTGCACAGAAATGCCCTGATCCCTCCAACATCTCAAAAACCAACTCACTGACTTCATTATATATGTACAGTGAAGAAAAGAGATCCACAGTTGCAGTAAGAGTCTGGAACCAGGGTCCTGTAAATACTCAAACATCTCCATCCGTCTTATGTGCTGTCACACAGACAACCCAGTGCAGAGCCCTCCATGGTGGGTGCCTTCTGAGATGGCTCACAGTGATCCCCGCTTCCTGTAATTCATACTCTTGTATGTGTGAAGGGATTGTGTGATCCCTTCCCCTAATGTATGCGCTGGACTGGTGACTTACTTCCAACAAACAGAATATAGTGAAAGCAGCTGGAATGTCACTTCTGAGATTAGGTTATGGAAACATACCTTTTGTCTTGGGTGCTCTTCCTTGCTAGCTCTGAGGAAAGCCAGCAGCCATTTTGTGAGCTGCCTGTGGGGAGACCCACATGGCAGGGAGCTGAGGGTGGCCTCCAGCAAACAGTCAGCAAGAAAATGAGGCCTCCAGTCACACAGCCTCTGGGGAACGGAATCTAGGCAAGCACCTCATGAGTGAGCTTGGAAGCGCACCTCAACCCCTAGTTGAGCCTTTAGTTGAGATTGCAGCCTGGCCGTGGGTTCAGCCATAGCCTCATTAGAGGCCTTGAACCAGAGGCAGCCAGTTAAGCCACACCTGAGTTCCTGATCACAGAGACTGTGAGATAACAAATCTTTATCGTTTTAAGCCTCCGAGTTTGAGGGCAATTTGTTACTTGGTGATAGGTCACCAATTCATCAAGAAAACCAAGGGATCAGGATGGGAATGTGCCTGCCCAGAAGCAAGGCAGGCTCAGGAGCCCGGAACTAGAACGAGCAGAAGGAGGAAGAACAGAACACAGAGTATATATAGGGCTTGGGTGGGCAGCAGATGCAGACATGGAGGCAGTGTAGACAAATGGTCAAGGCAGAGCATGGGCTCTCAATCACACTGCCTGGATTTCACTCCTGGCTTCACTTTACCTCTTCCCATCAGTTATTTTACTTCCTTCAACGTCAGCAATCTTGTCTGTAACCTGAGGCCCCTAACAATACCCACCTCACAGAGATAACCCGTGTAAAGTGTGTGGCGCACCTCCGGGCGCGGAGTCGGGGTTCTAGCAGTTACAAACGGGGCTGGCCTAGTGAAGGCCCCAGAGTTCACTTTAAAGGAGAGTCTGTCTACTCAGCGGGTTGGGGAGGAAGGTTGTTAACTCTTCCTAACGCGTTCGCTGTCCCAGGCAGACAGGGCTTACAGAGGGCGTGTCAAGGAGCTGTCAGCTTACTTCTTGAGGTGGATCATCAGGTATCGGAGGGTCTCGTAGTGGGCCGGAGGCAGCAGCATCAGCACGTCATGGACGGCTTCCAGCCTCTCGTCGGCGTTGGAGATTTCTGCGAAGAGCCCACATGAGTCAGTGCCATGCTGGAACATTAAAGTTTTCGGAGAAGTAACAAGTTGGGTTTGTTCCGGTTACAGGTGGAAGGGAAGCCTAATAAGTTCATGCTATTTCAGGTAACATTTCACTTAAACTAATCAATGCATTTGTGTCTTGCCTTCTTCCAGAAAGGGTTGGAGGTTGGCAACCACACATGTATTGAACACCCAGTGGGCGGGTGACGGGAGGCTGGGCATGGTCCTTGCCCTCCCAGGAATCTGCAGTCCTGGAGATGTTTGCTGGTGGCCCAAATGGTTTTGCTCATCTTCTGAATGCCGGACTTGCTAGAGATCTCACTACCACAAGCTTTAATTTAAAGTGGATCACACTTGGTAGTGTTCTCCTGCAGTTGTCTGACAAGCCTTTTCCTGGAAGCCTTCTGTGACTGAATGCACCCTACGACCCCAGGGCGCTGGCCCATATGAGCCCATGAGCGCAGCTTGCACTCACGGCACTGTTCACCAAAGTGTTGGCATTCTGAACCCCGCTGTACAGTCCGGCTTAGGAAGTAGATATGAGGCACATTCACCAAGGGAGGAAACATGCATGCTTCTGCATTTTAGGGCTCTGATAGGAATTGGCAGTCATTCACAGAAAGTTCCCCTGCCATTCCTCCTGGGGCAAAGGGTACCCAGCTGCCAGAACCTTCTCCACACAGGACTACCAGAACCCAGGAAAGAATGCTCTTACTGGGAAGTGGGGCCATAACTCATCAGGAAAGTGTATCTTGCACTAATCCCAGCCTGCCCATGTTTGTCCCCATCAGGCATCTTATTATTATATTTACCTTCGAAGGTATTTTTCATAAGAAATTCCTCAAAATGTGCTTGATTTCTACGCCATGCATCCTATCAGCTGACTCCCCTTCCTTCCTATGTTCCTGGGCAAAGTGCAGTACCACTTCTCGCTCCCTGCCCCCTACCTCCCACCCCAATATGGTCCCCCCTCCTGACAGCAGTCTACCCAAGTGCCAAACACTAATGAGCAACCATGGGCTGAAGGAAGACCAACAATGATGATGTTCAGTTCCTGGCCCTGTGAGCTCAGCTCTCGGACACTAGCTTTCCTGCTCTGTGAAAGGGGATTATGATATTTGCCTCATCAGGTAGATGGGAAGCTTAAACCAGAGGATATTATTGAGAGGTCCTGGTATAGTCCTTGACACAGTATTGTCAATTTTGAACAACATCAGTGGGCATAGCTTGGGGTCTAACTTTAATCGATTAGCAATGGGAGTGTGATTAATGGATGAAAGTAGTTATCTATACAGTCCTCATTGTAGAACATCTGATTGTTTACTAGAGACACATTTTTGCTTTCAACATATAACAGAGTAGCCCTGACGGGGCCAGTTCCAGCATAGAAGGGACAATATGGAGAGAGAACTGCCTGGCGCCCAGCTTTAGCCGAGCAGAGGTGGTGGGTACTGGTTCAACTCAGCTGGTGAACTAGGCCTGGCTTTCTATTAACTGTACCATTGTGCCCTCACTTGGCAAAGTGAGCGCTCATGGGATAATTTAAACAGTCGTGCGTTTTAATTTTCCTGAAGTTAAAAGCATTCCACTTCACAATTTGGTACAAATAAAAGGTTAGTTCTCAATACTTACTGGCTGCCTCGATAAATTTGGGATAGGTGTCATAGGTGATAACAGGAATGGGTAAGTCTCTGAAGTACAGTTTAAGGGCTCCAGTGATGATGTTTATGTCTGGATAGACGTTAGCGGATATATCTGCCTTTTCGCCATCTGAAAAACAATCAGTGATCTGATTCCTAATTAGGACCTATTTCACCAAGGTGAAGCATGCCCAGGAAAAAAACAAAAAGATCCAACAGTGAACGTGATGTGCCAGTGCAAGTCCCAGCTGACTGCTCTTCTAGTAACACCGACGACAGGCAGGAAGTAACAAAAAGAGGTTTGCAGAGAGGGATTTTGGGTCTGAGGGTAAGTGTAGCCAAAAGAGCAGTGAAATTGACTTATTGTATTTCTTTGGGCCCAGCCTCTGGTAATTTGCTAGACAGAAACTTAGCATAGTAATTCATATTCTAGACACCAATGTTCATAAGAGAATAACAATCTCATCTGAAATAATAATAAAAAAAACAAGCTTTTATATAGCTGCACCAGTATTCTTTGGATTTGGATTTGAAGATCACACACACACATCATAATTGCTGAATGTCTTCAGTTTCTATTGTCTCTCACAAGCTCACTGATATTTCTCTTAGTTCTTTCTCTTCTGTTCCTAGGACTTTAATTTGGGAAACTCTGATCTTCCCTCATGTATGGGTAATGTCATATTCTAGCCATGTTTGCAATCATTCTGAAAACATTTTTTGACTTTTTGTTTTACCATTAGTAAAAATCAGTCCAATTTAACTGTCACAGATTATACATTTTTTGGATAAGAAAGTTTCAATCATATTGAGATGATTAGCATTTTCTTTTACATAGAGAATTGAAAGAAAGAACAAATGTCTCAGCAAATTTGGTTCTGAGGATAAAGAAAGCTGGCGTACAGAACACAGTGAGTACAGCAGATGGGTCATCCGATCCCATTATTTACATATTTAACAAATATCTATTGAGACTCTACCATGTGCCAGGCACCGTTAAGCGCTGGTGAATCAAAGAAGAAAAAACATACTCCCTTCAAAGAGCTCTAGTCAGACTGGGAGTCAGGCATGCAACTCCATAGTCCAAGGAAATGGAAAGCTTTGCTAGTCTGGAGATGTGGAAACATGGTGGGTGGGGAGCAGACACAGGAAAGGACAATGGGACTCTTAGGTCAGCTTGAGGATTCATGAACGAGGAAAGACTTGCGTGGACACCTGATTAATAGGTAAGTGTCTGCCAGGCAGAGATGTGAACACATTCTAGATGGACAGAACAACGTGAGCCAAGGTACTTGTTCATGAAAACAGCTAAGGTGTATTTCAGTGTAGCTGGGGCACAAAGTATACAGGGCCGAGGAACTGGCCATGAGCCTGAAAAGATAGGCCAGATCATCAGAGACCTTGTCTAGTGTTCTTACAGAGTGAAGGTTCTATCTAGTAGGCTAGGGGTTCTATCCCTCGATTCTACTGTTATTTGGACTGTTCAATAGAAATATAGAATAGAGTGGAGAGGGGAAAGATGGCGGAGGAGTAGGGGACCCTATTTCAACTGGTCCCCGGAATTGAGCTGGATATCTACCAGACCACTCTGAGCACCCACGAAACCAGCCTGAGACATAAGAAGATCTGGATCTCTACAAACAGAATATCGCAGGCAGTTGGTTTTGAGGTACGAAGCCGAGAGCCGTGATCCTGCGGGCAGATATCGGAGGGTAAACGGCGGTGGGAGGGTGCCTGGCCGTGGGGATCCTACACCGCAGTGAGTGACAGCCTCGCGCCCTGTGGATGGGGCACAGACTCGCAGACCGGTGGCGTCGGGAAAGAACTTTAGGGCAGCCCCCGGGGTGGAAAACCAGACCGGCGGGGTCGCGTGCACGTGAACCGCACCCCCCCCCCCCCGAAAGAAACCGGAGCGACGGTCACGTGCACGCGAACTGCAGCCTCCGAGACAGAAACCCGGTGTGCCGGGGTCGCGCCGGTGAACTGCAACCCCTGGGGGTGGAAACCCCAAGCGGTGGAGTCACGCGGGCGCGAACTGGGAGCGGCTGGTGGTTTTAGAAGCACAAAGGGCAGAGACGCGCCCCGACGTGGAGGCAGGACTGGGGGCGCTGCGGAGGGGCGCACACCCCAGGATGCTGCAGTTTATAGCAGCACGGACAGAAATGGAGACGATGTGGCCTGGAGAGCTCACCGAAGAACAGACTGCGGTCTCCCTACTCTGAGGCAGAGGGTTGGAAATGGTCTCTTCTGCTCTGACTCGCGGAAGAGACGCGGAAAGCCACCAGGGAAAGGCGCCAGAGAACAAAAGCCCCAAAGACTAATTCCCACTGAGCCCATCCCCCGCCACAGGGGCGCAGGGCAACTCCGCCCAAACAGGGTTGCCTGAGTCACAGCACGGCAGTCCCCTCCCGCAGAAGACAGGCTGGGAAAACAAGAGGCCAGCAACCCTAAGGTCCCAAGAAAACAGGTGCATCTTGCTTGGGTTCTGGTCAATAATTTGGACTCTATACATTCCCTCAAATACCCATCAACAGAATGACTAGAAGGAGGAGCCCCCAAAACAGAAAAGACTCAGAGATTATGACTTAAATGCTGCAGATTTACAAATGGATGCAGACATAACCAAGATGTCAGAGATGGAATTCAGGCTAGCAATTGTGAAGACAATGGCTAGAATGGAGAAATCAATTAATGGCAACATAGAGTCTCTAAGGGCAGAAATAAAAGGTGAATTGGCAGAACTTAAAAATGCTATCAATGAGATCCAATCCAATCTAGATAATCTAACAGCTAGGGTAACTGAGACAGAAGAGAGAATAAGCGATCTGGAAGACAGTATAATAGATAAAAAGGGAAAAGAGGAGGCCAGGGAAAAACAACTCAGAATCCATGAAAATAGAATCAGAGAAATAAGTGACACCATGATGCGTTCCGATGTCAGAATAATTGGAATCCCGGAGGGAGTGGAGAGAGAGAGAGAGAGGGGGCTAGAAGATGTATTTGAGCAAATCATAGCTGAGAACTTCCCTAATCTGGGGAATGAAACAAACATTTGAGTCCTAGAGGCAGAGCGGACCCCTCCTAAGATCAAGGAAAACAGGCCAATGCCCCAGCATGTAATAGTAAAACTTGCAAATCTTAGAACCAAGGAAACCATCTTAAGGGCAGTTAGGGGGAAGAGATTCCTTACGTACAGAGGGAGGAACATCAGGATAACGTCAGACCTATCCACAGAGGCCTGGCAAGCCAGAAAGGCCTGGCAAGACATATTCAGAGTACTAAATGAGAAGAACATGCAGCCAAGAATACTTTCTCCGGCAAGGCTTTCATTTAGAATGGATGGAGAGATGCAGAGCTTCCACGACTGGCAGAAGTTGAAAGAATATGTGACCACTAAGCTGGCCCTGCAAGAAATATTAAGGGGGGTTTTATAAAAGGAGAAAGACCCCAAGAGTGATCTACAACAGAAATTTACAGGGACAATCTATAAAAACAACGTCTTCACAGGCAACACGATGACAATTAATTCATATCTTTCAATAATCACTCTCAACGTGAATGGCCTAAATGCTCCCATAAAATGGCACACGGTTGCAGATTGGATAAAAAGACAGGACCCATCCATATGCTGTCTACAAGAGACTCATTTTGAACCTAAAGATACATCCAGACTGAAAGTGAAGGGATGGAGATCCATCTTCCATGCCAGCGGACCTCAAACGAAAGCTGGGGTAGCAATTCTTATATCAGACAAATTAGATTTTAAACTAAAGTCTGTAATAAGAGACACAGAAGGACACTATATCATTCTTAAAGGGTCTATCCAACAAGAAGATCTAACAATTGTAAATATCTATGCCCCCAACATGGGAGCAGCCATCTACATAAGCCAACTGTTAACCAAAATAAAGAGTCATATTGATAACAATACGTTAATTGTAGGAGACCTCAATACTCCACTCTCAGCAATGGACAGATCATCTAAGCAGAAAATCAGCAAGGAAACAAGAGCTTTGAATGATACATTGGACCAGATGGACCTCATAGATATTTACAGAACATTCCACCCTAAAAGAACAGAATACTCATTCTTCTCGAGCGCACATGGAACTTTCTCCAGAATAGACCATATACTGGGTCACAAATCAGGTCTCGACCGATACCAAAAGATTGAGATTATTCCCTGCATATTCTCAGACCACAATGCTCTAAAACTGGAACTCAATCACAAGAAAAAATTTGGCAGAAATTCAAACACTTGGAAGCTAAAGAATGTTTGGGTCAACCAAGAAATCAAAGAAGAACTTAAACAATTCATGGAAATCAAAGAGAATGAAAACACATCGGTCCAAAACCTATGGGATACTGCAAAGGCAGTCCTAAGGGGGAAATACATAGCCATCCAAGCCTCACTCAAAAAAATAGAAAAATCCCGAATTCACCAACTAACTCTACACCTTAAAGAACTAGAGAAAAAGCAACAAACGACGCCTAAGCCACGCATTAGAAGAGAAATAATTAAAATTAGAGCAGAAATCAATGAATTAGAAACCAGAAACACAGTAGATCAGATCAATGAAACTAGAAGTTGGTTCTTTGAAAGAATTAATAAGATTGATAAACCACTGGCCAGACTTATCCAAAAGAAGAGAGAAAGGACGCAAATTAATAAAATTATGAACGAAAGGGGAGAGAGCATGACTAACACCAAGGAAGTAGAAACAATTATTAGAAATTATTATCAACAACTATATGCCAATAAACTGAGCAATCTGGATGAAATGGAGGCCTTCCTGGAAACCTATAAGCTGCTAAGACTGAAACAGGAAGAAATCGACAACCTGAATAGGCCAATAACCAGTAACGAGATTGAAGCAGTGAGCAAAAACCTCCCAAAAAATAAGAGTCCAGGGCCTGATGGATTCCCTGGGGAATTCTACCAAACATTCAAAGAAGAAATAAGACCTATTCTACTGAAGCTGTTTCAAAAAATAGAAACAGAAGGAAAACTTCCAAACTCATTCTATGAGGCCAGCATTACCTTAATCCCCAAACCAGGCAAAGACCCCATCAAAAAGGAGAATTTCAGACCAATATCCCTGATGAATATGGATTCCAAAATCCTCAACAAAATCCTAGCTAATAGGATCCAACAATACATTAACAGGATCATCCACCACGACCAAGTGGGATTTATCCCCGGGATGCAAGGGTGGTTCAACATTCGCAAATCAATCAATGTGATAGAACACATTAATAAGGGGAGGGAGAAGAACCATACGGTCCTCTCAATTGATGCAGAAAAAGCATTTGACAAAATACAACATCCTTTCCTGATTAAAACTCTCCAGAGTATAAGGATAGAGGGAACATTCCTCAAGCTCATAAAAATCCATCTATGAAAAACCCACAGTGAATATCATCCTCAATGGGGAAAAGCTGAGAGCCTTTCCCTTAAGATCAAGAACACGTCAAGGGTGCCCACTCTCACCACTGTTGTTCAACATAGTACTAGAAGTCCTAGCAACAGCAATCAGACAACAAAAAGAAATAAAAGGTATTCAAATTGGCAAAGAAGAAGTCAAACTCTCTCTTTTTGCAGACGACATGATACTTTATATGGAAAACCCAAAAGACTCCACCCCCAAATTACTAGAACTCATCCAGCAATTCAGTAATGTGGCAGGATACAAAATCAATGCACAGAAATCAGTTGCTTTCTTAAACACTAACAACGCAACTGTTGAAAGAGAAATTAAAGAAACGATTCCATTTACAATAGCACCAAAAACCATAAGATACCTCGGAATAAACCGAACCAAAGAGGTAAAGGATCTATACCCTAGGAACTACAAAACACTCATGAAAGAAATTGAAGAAGACACAAAAAGATGGAAAAATATTCCATGCTCATGGATCGGAAGAATAAACATTGTTAAAATGTCTATGCTACCCAGAGCAATCTATACCTTCAATGCCATCCTGATCAAAATTCCAATGACATTTTTCAAAGTGCTGGAACAAACAGTCCTACAATTTGTATGGAATCAGAAAAGACCCCGAATCGCCAAGGAAATGTTGAAAAAGAAAAACAAAGCTAGGGGCATCACGTTGCCTGATTTCAAGCTATATTACAAAGCAGTGATCACCAAGACAGCATGGTACTGGCACAAAAACAGACATACAGACCAATGGAACAGAATAGAGAACCCAGATATGGACCCTCAACTCTATGGTCAAATAATCTTTGACAAAGCAGGAAAAAACATGCAATGGTAAAAAGACAGTCTCTTCAATAAATGGTGCTGGGAAAATTGGACAGCCACATGTGGAAGAATGAAACTCGACCATTCTCTAACACCACTCACAAAGATAAACTCAAAGTGGATGAAAGACCTCAATGTGAGACAGGAATTCATCAAAATCCTAGAGGAGAACATAGGCAGTAACCTCTTTGACATCGGCCACAGCAACTTCTTTCAAGATACATCTCCAAAAGCTAGTGAAACAAAAGCAAAAATGAACTTTTGGGACTTCATCAAGATAAAAAGCTTCTGCACAGCAAAGGAAACAGTCAACAAAACAAAGAGGCAACCCACAGAATCGGAGAAGATATTTGCAAATGACACTACAGATAAAGGGCTGGCATCCAAAATCTATAAAGAACTTCTCAAACTCAACACCCAAAAAACAAATAATCAAGTCAAAAAGTGGGCAGAAGACATGAACAGACACTTCTCTGAAGAAGACATACAAATGGCTAATAGACACATGAAAAAATGTTCATCATCATTAGCCATCAGGGGAATCCAAATCAAAACCACACTGAGATACCACCTTACACCAGTTAGAATGGCCAAAATGGACAGGGAAAGAAACAACAAATGTTGGAGAGGTTGTGGAGAAAGGGGAACCCTCTTACACTGTTGGTGGGAATGCAAGTTGGTACAGCCACTTTGGAAAACAGTGTGGAGGTTCCTCAAAAAATTAAAAGTAGAGCTACCCTATGACCCAGCAATTGCACTCCTGGGTATTTACCCCAAAGACACAGATGTAGTGAAAAGAAGGGTCATATGCACCCCACTGTTCATAGCAGCAATGTCCGCAATAGCCAAACTGTGGAAAGAGCCGAGATGCCCTTCAACAGATGAATGGATAAAGAAGATGTGGTCCATATATACAATGGAATATTACTCAGCCATCAGAAAAGATGAATACCCAACGTTTACATCAACATGGATGGGACTGGAGGAGATTATGCTAAGTGAAATAAGTCAAGCAGATAAAGTCAATTATCACATGGTTTCACTTATTTGTGGAACATAAGGAATAACATGGAGGACATTAGGAGAAGGAAGGGAAAAATGGGGGGGAGGGAATTGGAGGGAGAGATGAACCATGAGAGACTATGGACCTGAGAAACAAACTGAGGGTTCTAGAGGGGAGGGGTAGGGGAATGGGTTAGCCCGGTGATGGGTATTAAGGAGGGCACGTACTGCATGGAGCACTGGGTGTTATACGAAAACAATGGATCGTGGATCACTACATCAAAAACTAATGATGTATTGTATGGTGACTAACATAATATAATAAAATTAAAAACTACAAAAAAAAAAAGAAATATAGAATAGAAACACTAATTCGGAAAGATACGTGCACCCCCATGTTCACTGCAGCATTAGTCACAAAAGGCAAGACATGGAAGCCACCTAATTGTCCACCGATGGGTGAATATAGAGGAGATGCAGTATATATATATAATGGAATATTCTTCAGCCATAAGAAAGGGTGAAATCTTGCCATTTGTAACCACATGGATGGACCTTGAGGGAATTCCGCTAAATGAAATAAGTCAGATAGAGAAAGACAAATACCATATGATCTCTCTTATACATAGAATCTAAAACAAAACGAACCAAAACTAAGCTCATAGATACAGAGAACAGATTGGTGGTTGCAAGAGACCAGCAGTGAGGGGTTGGTTAAATGGGTGAACTGTTTTTTTGTTTAAATACACTGAATAAAAATTAATAAAGAAACACAGATTCTTGGGCTCACTTAGCTTTCTGAATGGGTCCCCAGGGTGGGCCCAGGCGATCTGTACTTTTAAGGAGCTCCAAAGCTTTTTGGCCCAAGAGATAGTATGACCTAGAGAGCATTTGTCACAGTTATAAATAACAAAAGAAGTCACCTCCGAGACTTCCACTGGCTTCCCCTGTTTCAGTGCTTGGCATACCCCCATCCTATGCTCTCTTCTTTGGAGTTTCGGGGGAAGGAAAAGAGTCACTAAGACCCTCAGGTGGGGGTGTAGGACACTCTGGGGCCATGTGGACCAACCGTCAATGTTGGGCAACCAAATCAAGAATCATAATGGCATCAAAGAAGTATTTTATTCAAGAAGTATTTCAAACTCACTTCCCCATGTGGTCACTTGTCCACAGTTTTTAAGGGAATACCTCCCCCAGAAAGGCAGAGAACTATGTGATTTGTAAGCCATTATTCCTTGGCTTCCTGAGGAACGGCTCTCAGTAGCTCTGAAACCCATCCCCACTATGAATAAAATCTGGTTCCAAGAGAAAGCATGGTAAGGATAGGTCATCTGGCCTTCAAAAGAGCATAAGCCCACCTCTGTCAAATGCCATTTTGACATCTTCGATGTGTTCGGTGAACCCAGAGACTCTGTAAAGGCCTTCCGACTTCAATCCTGTTGAACAAAGAGACAGACTTTAGCTTCCTGAAACATCTACAAAGGACTCTAATTTCATATTTACATTGTGTGCTAGCAGGAAATGAGCAAAATATAGTCAGTGCTCTTGTATATTACACACACTCCTGTCAGAAGCTGGGCTTGTCCATCTCAGTTTTCCAGGCAAGACTGTCTTCATTTGCTTGTGCTGCAGTAGAGACCTCGGGGATCTGGTCTTCCTGCCTGGCTTCGCAAAGTGAGCCTGTGTTTAAGATTCTCATCGACCACGGTCTCCTGCTTCCTTGTTCATTAGACTGCTGGATGAGATTTCACTGCTTCAGGCAGCAACCTGCTTCCTCCCTAGCATCATCTTAGCCCACGTGCCACGCTGCATGCAGCCCTGTGCTAGGAACACACACGTACGTGGATGCTTGCATATTATCCTGCTTTTATTGAAACAATCTAAATTTTACCGCCTTTTATGTTTAATCATAAATAGGATATGTTGAATGTTTAAATATGATTGAATTGTTATACCTTCAAATAAATGATCATACAGATAGGGAAAAATAAAATTTTAGTGATGATTCTGGAAACTTGATCCCTGTATATTTGGGCTAAGAAAGAGATATGGTTTCTGCTCCTAGATCTTAGGGATTTGTTAAGATATGTCCTAAGGCCTTGCCAGGTCCCAAAGGTATCAGAAGGGATAAAGGGTCAGATTTCAGACCTTCCAAGTCAGAAACGAGCTGCCCTCAAATTCCAGCTATGGCAAGAACAAGCAAACAAGTAGCTGGTACAGCTGGTGCAGGGTACTCTTGTCAAGCTCTTGATGACATACTTTCCTGTTCTTCATTTGGGAACCATCGATCAAGTATATGCTACCTGCCGTACATAAGGGTCTGCATCAGAGACAACAACTGCACCGCCTAAGTCCTGCCACCCTTCCTCCTGGGACTGTCAGAGACCTTTCTTACGGACTTGGCTCCGTCCCCCACCGAGCCCCACTCAGTCTCAGAACTCGTCTCCGTACAGTTGCCCAGGCTGCCAATACTGATCAGCTGGGTCGGCCCACCTGAGGACACCTGGAGTCATCCTCTTCTAGTCGGCAGTACACGTTAAGCGTGCCTCACTGTGACTGTGACCTGCACACAACACAGGCAAGGACACAGTGGCACATGGGAGCACCGGGCAGTGAACACAAGCCCAGCCTGTCTGTTGGTGGGAGGGTCCAGGGAGAAGATCTTACTGAAGAGCCATCTTTGAAGGAAGTCATGAAGGATGGACTAGAGTTTGCCAGAGTAGCAGAGGCTTCCAGCTCTCCTTGCGATGTCAGCTCTCCCCGTCCTCAGCTGCAGTGGAACCTCTGACTTGCAGAACAACATCCATGGCCATGGCCAGTAACTTCTGGCTAATGTGAAGAGAGCAGAAGTGATGTGTCCAGCGCGGCGCTGGGGTTGTGGACTTGAAGAGAAAGAGCATGCCTTTCTGCCCTTGGTTGGAATTCGGAGGAGATGGTGGTCACCACTTGGGATCATGCAGAAGAAGGCAGCTCTCGAGGATGGCGGAACAACAAGCTGCAGGGCCTGGGTTCCTGCCCACCTAGCCCTAGATTGCTCCCAGGGTCTGGACCATTACTGGAGAGAGAAATAGATTTCTATCTTGTTGCAGACACTATTGTTTGGGGGTCTCTGTGACAGCACTGAGTGAATGGTTGAAGTCAGTGGGTGAAGTCAGGTGGCAGACAGACGCATTCGGAGGTGGAGTTAGGCTAGGTGGTCATTCCAAGAAAAGGCGAAAGGAATAACATAGGCTGAGTCCTATATGTTGGGCCCCGTGCTAGGTCATTTATATGGATCAGCTCATTTTAACCCTCGCAGCCACCTTATGACTGATTCCATTCACTTTATGGGTGAGGAAACATATTCAAATAGAGCAGGTAACTTGGCCAAGGTCACGCCACCGCGAGTGTGAGACCGGGCTGGGAGTCTAATTCCACATCCGTGATCTTTTCGTTCTGCCACATCATGCAGAAACAAATGGCCATGAAAGAGCCTTTGCAGAACAATAAGGAATTTGCCAGGGATGGAAGATGAGGTAAGACTTTGGCAGAGGTGGCAATGAAGCTGGGGACGGGAGTCATGTGAATTTCTTCCAGCCCATTCTCTGATTCTGCTCACATGTGCAGCTCCAATCCCTTTGCTCTGACTCCCCTGGCAAAAATTTCTGCTCTGCTCTATTCTAGCTCTTGTACTAGGCATGCTTTGTGCTGTGCTCCCCATGGACACAGCAGACATCAGACACGGTGGTAACTTTGCCAGAGTTATCAGTCACCTCCGATGAGGATCACCGTGGGATGGTCGCAGCTTCTCCAGGGAAGCCGAGGTCCTGAGTTGAGGCTCCAGAGAGTCTGATGATCTGACCCCAAATTGCAGAGCCCTCTAAACAACAGGAGCCAGGGATACTTTTCCCAGCTACTCACCCGGAGTCAGGGCACCCCTTCTCAACTCTTACCCAGCTCAGCCCCTGCAGCAATACCTTCACCAGATCCCAAAGCGCCCACCAAACTCTGTCAGGCACAGCGGTCCAAAGGCAGCAGGCTCTTCTTACAATTTGAGATGAAATGAGAGTCTTAAGGGAACAGAATAGCTCTAGTTTTCATCCTGCACGGAAAAGGGAATGATTTCCTATCTCTAAAAGGCTTGGGATAACAAGCTTATAATGTCCTCTTTTGTTTTGTTTTGGAAAGAATGGAATAGTTAACCAATGCATAAATATCTGTAGCATACATTACGCAGTTTGGACACAATAATGAATACCAACAATAGCAACTATAGCAGAGTGCCTACCTGGTAAAAATGGTTAAAGCCTCTGGGCTTTATACATGGTCCAATTATCCAAGTTATATCCAGCAATCCAAATTCTCCCCAACCAGACTCAATCCACCACAACACTGAACACTTTGATACCGAAGAGTAGCCAAACAAAGCACAGATAAAAGAAAGGTGACTCAAGCCTACTATGAAGAACCTTCTCATTGAAATGTTTCTATTTTCTGTGCCTTCTTCTTCTTTTTAAAAAATATTTATTTATTGGGGCTCCTGGATGGCTCAGTTGGTTGAGCTGCCAACTCTTGATTTCGCCTCAGGTCACGGTCTCGGGCTCCTGGGATCGAGTCCTACATCAGGCTCCTCACTTGGCACAGAGTTGGCTTCAGAATTCTCTCTCTCCTTCTGCCCCTCCCCCTGATTGCTTGCTCGCTCTCTCTCTCTCTCAAGTGAATAAATCTTTAAAAAAAAGATTTATTCACTTGAGAGAGAGAGAGAGAGTATGTGGTTGGGAGGGGCAGAGGGAGAGGGAGAGAGAGAATCTCAAGCAGACTCCCTACTGAGCGGAGCCTAATGCAGGGCTTGATCCCACGTCCCCAAGATCACGACCTGGGCTGAAATCAAGAGTCGGATGCTTAACCGACTGAGCCACTCAGGTGCCCCTCTTCTGTGCCTTCTTGATTTTTCATTGCATAGATCTTTTTAATCTTTTAACTCTCCTCTTTGAAATAAACAGAACCAATACTAGCAGTGAATTTCTCTATGGTAGAAAATGTATGTATTGACCAGCAGTTTCTTTATCTTATTTAATGGGATCACTTTTTAAGACTCAATTCAGGGGTACCTGGGTGGCTCAGTCGTTGGGCGTCTGCCTTTGGCTCAGGTCATGATCCCGGGGTCCTGGGATCGAGCCCCGTATCGCTTCTCCCTCTCCCACTCCCCCTGCTTGTGTTCCCTCTCTCTCTGTGTCTCTCTCTGTCAAATAAATAAATAAAATTTTTTTTTAAAGACTCAATTCAAACCTCATCTCTGCCATAAACTCTATTGTCCTCAAATAACATTAAAATGTCTTCCTCTGTGACTTCATGGTGTTTTGAACACACATACCCATAACATTTATTTATTTACCCCTCTGATTCTGCATACTGCAATATGAATTTCTGGAAGGTAAGAACTGTGACTTTCATATCCTCAATGTGTAACACATAATAAATGCTTAGCAAACATGTGTTGGATGCATACATGCAAGGTTTAGGTACAAAACAGAAACTAATGTAGTTGGCTGGACTTAGCTTATGTGTGTGTGTGTGTATGTGTGTGTGTGTGTGCTCTGGGTCAGAATGTTTCCCCAACATCAATAGTGGAGAGAGAATCAATTTAGCAATTATAAGAAAGTTTCCTTGACAACAGTAAGAACAAACAATAAAAACAAAATCACTAAAATAAGGAGTTTTTTCCAAACCTCTTGCTTCAATTTCCCGTATGCATATGTCTACCACCATGGGTCTCTGAGTGTTGTGAGCCTTTACAAGTGTTGTGAGGTCACAACAGTACACCTTCTTGATCCTCTTGAGATCAGGTTGACAATCATTGGGAACGTGCTTGGAACACTGTTTGTGTACGTTCAATCCACAGTCTGTAAACAAAGAAGCCACATTAGCCTTGCCCGGCCCTTTTGTAAAAGCCCAACCCAAATTATATGTTACCAAAAATAAAACTGAAAACACCCAAGGGTTTGCTGTATCTTTCTGGAACATCTCTCCCATTTAGAGGTGATACTCTCCACAAGCTGAGTATGAAATCCATCTTTACTCACAAAACTTAAATAATTCCCTTTTTCTCATTTAGCATTTTCTGTTGCTGGACCATAAGAATAGAACATTTCTCTGAGATAGTTTTGGTGATTAGCTAGGTTGTTTGTAGGGTTTTGTTTTGTTTTTTTTCCCTCTTTTGGGACTTGGAACCTTTGGTCCACATGTGGATATTTGGGTTTGGATTCCCAGAGCTAGTCTTGGCTCATAAAGGGTACCTAAGACTTTTGCTAGGTTGTTTTTCTAAAGTCCTGGATTCTCCTTTAGTGGAAGACATGATTACTCTCTCTGTAGGAATCTTTAATCTTTGGTCTGAGGGACCCATGACCATTGGCATCTTCTTCCCTTTTCCTGGAGAGTTGCCCATAGTTTCCAGGACCTTCCCCTTGTTGGGCAGTTTGGGTGGACCATTTTTCTTTCTACTTGCCTTATTTTGACACCTGTGAGTGGAAATAATGTCTAACGAGATACTGGTGGGAGTACCTGAGAGTTTACAATTTAGGACAATGCCATGTAATGTGGTGATTAGAGCAATTATTTATAAAGCTCATATCAAGATCCAAAGCTTACAACGTACTTTTAAGTTCAATGAACACATTAAAAGCCTTGTTAGCAGTTGGTATCCACTGACAGAATTTCTCTAACAATAACAAGACACAGTCTAGGGCGCCTGGGTGGCTCAGTTGGTTAAGCGACTGCCTTCGGCTCAGGTCATGATCCTGGAGTCCCGGGATCTAGTCCCACATCGGGCTCCCTGCTCAGCTGGGGGTCTGCTTCTCCCTCTGACCCTCTTCCCTCTCTTGCTATCTGTCTCTCATTCTCTCTCTCTCAAATAAATAAATAAAACCTTAAAAAAAAATAACAAGACACAGTCTAGATTCTGGAAAATAAAAATTTAATGCTTAAGCTGTTCAAAGTTGATGTACTGTCTATTCAAAACATATATATATATATATAATACACATATAATAATGAATATCATAATCAGCTGTTTAACAAAAAAGCACTTAACCACATCAAGGATTTGAGAAAATCTAAACTTTTATAAAATCATCAAAAATGATTTTTGAAAATCATTCTATGATTTTCATGTAATTTTTAGGCTGAGTTCTCTCTGCCTACCCTCCTTACAAAGAAAAAACCAGTTTTAAATCATCTGGGCTTTATCAACATGAGAAATTCAACAAAGCTCAAGTAAACTTCAAAAGTATTTTGATAGATCAATTTGTAGTTGTAAATTTGGGCAAACAACCAAATAGAACTGGTTTGTTTTCTTGTTTGGATCCTCTTTTATAAAATAAGGATGATAATAGCATCTACTCCTAGGATTATCATAAGGATCAACTAAATTAGTCTCTAAACTCTCAAGTGTGGTGAAAACTACATGCAAGTAAAATAAAAGAAACAGCAAATATGTGAGAAAATATAAGGATACCCGGCCAGCTCTTCTCGTTATTTCACTAGTAAGTTTTACTACATTCTTATAAACTTCATTTAAAATAATTTTTTAAAGTTGTGATCAAATATACATAACAAAATTCACCATTTTAACCATTTCTCAGTGTACAGTTCAGAGGCATTAAGTACCTTCACGTGTGTGCAACTGTCACCACCATCCATCTCCAGAACCTTCATCTTCCAAAACTGAAACTCCAGTCATTAAACAATAACTCCCCAGGCCCTCCTCCCTCTCGCCCCTGGCAACCACATTCTACTTTCTATTCCTACGAATTTGACTCCTGTAGGTATCTCATATAAGTGGAATCACTAGCATTTGTCCTTTTGTGACTGGCTTATTTCACTTTTTATGATGTCCTTAAGGTTCATTAATATTACAGGATATGACAGGATTTCCTTCCTTTTTAAGGCTGGATGGTATCCCACAGTATTGATATACCACATTTTGTTTATCTATTGATGGACACTCGGGTTGCTTCTAGCTTTTGGCTCTTGTGAATAATGCTGTTATAAATACAGGTGTACAAATATCTGTTTCAGTGCCTGCTTTCAGTTCTTTTGGGTATAGACCCAGAAGTGGAATTGCTGGATTATGTGATAATTCTATTTTAAATTTCCTTATAAACTTCATTCGAAGATCTGAAGTGACAGTGTGTTTCTGTAGAGTTAAATACTGACATTTTATTAAAATTAAAATGTTTTATAATATATAAAATTATTCAATATGTGCAAACTACTCCAATTCCATATGCTATAAATAAAGACTATTCATTTAAAAAATAGTTAAAATATGTAAAATACAGAGAGTTGAGAGGCAGCGATGGCTATTCCTAACCTTTAATGATCAGGTTTCAATTTTCCTGCTGCTCAGAAGAAATATGAGGCCAAACAGTTGCCATTGGAGAATATTAACATAACCTCAGAATATGTTTTATTAAAAAAAACGGAAAAAACAAAAACCTTTTTATCCCAGAGAAAATTGCTATTCACAGCTAATGTAAATTCCAGAGTTTTGTTCTCATAATATTGACTTTGGACCGATTTGCTACTCAAATTGGATAACACCAGCAATTAGGATATTTCTAGTAGGTATAATCTGGACAGACTGAATTAATGACCACTGGGTGATTCAGATAGTCTACTGCTTTACTCAGTCGTTGAGCCGTGAGATGCTTTGTAACTCCCAGGTGAGTAAGTCTTTTGTGTTAATTGGAGTATCCGGAACATTCCTGGACAGGCTGCCTCTGAGCCTGTTTGCTGCTTGTCTCATGAATCTGTGATGGGGGCAGGTAGCTTTAAACCACATACACAAGCACTACTTGACCCATCCAGGTACCACCACCGGTGATTGCTGTATCTACCCAGTGGAAGCTAAGGTAGCCCCTTCTGAGCAGAGAAAGGATTTAAAGTCCCACAGTCCTGTGAACCAAAATGGGCATTAAGGCGAAGTAGATTATCTTAATGTAATGTCATTAGCTTATTTTATTTTAAATGCTTCCTAAGAATTTTTTTAAAAAACCATATTCTAGTAGCAAGGAAGAAATCAGTCATGGTGTTGGTAGAAACCCGATCAGTATACCACAGGAGGCTATTCTTGCTCCTGGCCAGGACTGCTTGCCAGAAAAAGTGTGGTGAGATGAATTAAGAAGCCCAGTTACACATTAGTTTGGCAATTCTTTGCTCTTTTGTTAGCTGTATTTTAGTAAGATGTGTTATGTGCTGTTAGCACTGGGTGTGGGCATCCAGTTCTAGGTGGAAAAACACCTAAGGTTTCAAAGTGCTTTGAAAATATGTGATATCCAATCAAGGTCTTTAGTTGCACAGCTAATCTGATAGCAGAGAAGTTCTAAGCATGTGTTCTGGAGCTGAATCAATTTTCCACCACTTACCACTATGTGGCCAAGAGTTACTAACAACTACCTCTAAGCCTCAGTTTCTTCATCTGTTCAGTGGGGAGAATATTGCATGTCTTTAAGGTCTGTTGGTGAGACTAAATGGCATGATAAATAGAAAGTGCTTAGCTCAATGCCTGGTGTGTGGCAAAGGTTCACCAGTATTTCTATTTTCATGCCTTGCCTTTTGTGGTAAAGTGGGGGATGGGAAAGAAATGTGGTTTTTCTATCTTTGCCGTTCCATTGGAATTGATTTCTTTTTCTTTTAAGGACTGCTGCCTCTTTTGGGTGGCAGGTAGGTGCATAAGGAAATGTACTTGCTTGGATTTTTTTTCTCTTCTTGCATAAACATGATATTCCTTTTCATTCCAGCAGACACCTAGAACAGCCTCTCCATTAAGCAGAGAAGATGACTTGAACCTTTCAGAAAGCTAGACTTTTGAGCTAATCTGGATCTATTTCCCAACTCTGGAGAAATGATCTCCAGCTCAACATTATGTCACTTTATATAAATGGAAAAGGATGAAGAAAGTTCTGTCTACCTGAGCACCGAACCCCTTGGGCGATGAGCCCCCACATAAAGTTGGCACAGTATTCACACCAGTGCGGGCCTCGGAATGTGTGGACCTGTGATCCAAAAAGAAGAAAAATGTCAGAAAATTCAGTTATTTGAAGGGAGGTGGCCTTAGACATGAAACACATAGATGATGTCAAGAAACAAAGACTTCAGTGGGAGTGAGCATCCCTCACTGGGCCTTTTCTTTCCAGTGAGGTGGAGTTACAAACAGACCGGAGAAAACAGAGATATGCTTTGATCTCTGAAAATCCTCTACCAATCCACCATGCCCCAGGCCAGAGTCAGAAAGGAATGTGGAGCAACAGTAAGATTATAGGGCCATGCCATCAGCTAAGGAATGAGACTCTCACCACCCCAAACAAGGCACTGTGTGGACAAACCCAAGATAGCCTGGGCTGGTCACCATAACCTGCATTTAGCTCTGCAAGTTCTGGAAGGCAGAACTCAATTATTGCATCCTTTTGACCAAAGTTGCTCCATGTGTAGAATATCCAGACAGGTATAAATAAGACATGATTATAGGAAAATTAGCAGGTTCCAAGGCTTCGAGCCACTTCCAAAAAACAAAAAACAAAAAAACCCAACAACAAAAACAAACCTAAAACCCCAAAAAACAGGCATTTAAAAAGAGTGAGGGAGTTGGCTGACATGAAGTCTACTGATAGGGTCTAGAGAGTTGCCTTCCCCAGAGACAGGGTCCGGATTCAGCATGCCAGGTGAGGCCTATGCGTGTGAAACTTGCAAGTCCTTTCTGATTGGCCCAGATGCGAGTCTCATTGTTTGGTGTCCCAGCCAGTTAAATATTTTGAATATCATGAAGTAAGGATGGCTTTATCTCTCCTCAGGTACGGGTCCCCTTATGACTGGGCCATGTATTAAGTCATGATTTAAAACAAAAACAAAACAAAACAAAAATGCATGTTCTCTGGCACCAGTGAGCTTCAACACACAGAACTAGGAGATTCCTTGAAAGCAAATGTGGCCATTGTAAGCCCAAAACTACCACGGGCAGTCTACTTGGAGACATACAAACCCATGTGACAATGTTCTGAATTTTTACAAAATTAAAATATTATGAGACATTACTAAGGACTTTCAAAGTTTGAAGCCTCCATTAACAAATAAAAGAAATACAGACAACATTATCTTTTTTAACAGACTGGGAGGCCAGTCTGCTATTTTTTTAAAATTTTAATTTTTTTAATTTAGATTCAATTCCTTAACATACAGTGTATTTTTAGCTTCAGAGGTAGACTTCAGTGACTCAGAATGCTAGTTTTAATTAACACAAAAAATACGAGGATCACAACTATGGGTACAATTTGGGAAGATGCTCATCAGAGCTCTACTTAAAAAAAGCATCACTTTGAGGTCTTTCTTTATTTATATAGGCTACTAATTGTATATACATGAAGTGGCAGACAAAACAGACCTGGTTCCCTCCTCCTGGAACTTATAGATTTGTAAAGGCCGACAGAGTGAGCAAGTTAAAAAATCAAAAAGAACAACTTATACCATGGTTTCTACACAACTGAACTAAGTTTTGATTTTTTAGTTTGTCACATGCAAACTGTCCAGTATACTATTTCTGCTTTGAAAAACAATGGAAAAAAAAAAAAACAAACACCTCTCAGAATTGTTTTTACTAAAAATGGGTAATTGTGCTGTAAGGAAGCGGCGCTTAGATACGACAAAGCGCCTTGTAGGAATGCAGAGAATCTATCCCAGGGAGCTCTTGTACTCGCACAGAGCCAAGATGCGAGGGTTCATTTAGAGGCCTGCTCAGATTAAACGTGGTCCTTAAAGAATCCCTCAGTAAGGGGTTCTGTTGGTAGTTGAAGATTTTCTAAATTTAGCAATCAAAGGTTTCTTAATATTATTTTACTAGAAAGGCACTAAAGGAATGGTGCTAGCTAATTATGGCAACAAAGTTGATGGTTAATATACTGTTGAAATCACAAGATCAATCAAATCAAATCAAATCATACAACTCCAAAAGAGAGGAAAAAAGTGTGTGGAAAGGGATATAAAAGAAAAAAAAAGTTTGCTACTAGAGAGACTTAAGAGAGGCCCCAATGTTATTCACAGTGGTCAGAAAAGCTTCTCTTGGAAAGTGACTTCATGCTGCTTGAAGGAGGGGAAGAGCCAATCTGGTAGAGGCAGGGTTGGAGAGCATTCTGGCAGAAGGAATCTACAGAGGTCCTGTAGGAGCAAAAGAGTTTGGTGTGACTGAGGAATGAGAAGGCCAGGGGGGCCAGAACACCAGAGTGAGGGGAGACAACCTGGCTGAGGTTGGAGGTAGGAAAGGGCCTTGAAGGTTTTGTTAATGAGCATAGATTTTCTTTTAATCTAGGTCCAATAAGAAGCTCTTGAAGGATATTAAGTAGGAAGATGATTAAAAAAAAAAAAGACATTCTGATCACCATGTTGAAAACAGATGGGTAAGTATTCATCGTGAAGGAGATTCGGAAACTGGTTAGTAGTTTCTGGTTGAGAAAGGATAGAGGCCAAGATTAGGGGGCTGGAGTTGGAGATGGGAAGTGGATGGATTTGAGGCATTTTTTTTTTAAAGATTTTATTTATTTATTTGACACAGAAAGAGAGAGCACAAGCAGGGGGAGTGGCAGGCAGAGGCAGAGGAAGAAGCAGCCTCCTCGCAGAGCAGGGGGATCCTGATGTGGGACTCGATCCCAGGACCCCAGGATCATGACCTGAGCTGAAGGCAGTCGCTTAACCAACTGAGTCACCCAGGCGCCGCCTCCCTCTTTTTTTTTTTAAAGAGAGGCATATTTTTCTTTTTCTTTTTCTTTTTTTTTTAAGATTTTATTTATCTGACAGAGAGAGACACAGCGAGAGAGGGAACACAAGCGGGGGGAGCAGGAGAGGGAGAAGCAGGCTCCCTGCAGAGCAGGGAGCCCAATGTGGGACTTGATCCCAGGACCCTGGGATCATGACCTGGGCTGAAGGCAGATGCTCAACGACTGAGCCACCCAGGCGCTCCAAAGAGAGGCATATTTTTAAGACAGAATTCATAAGACTTTATAATAGAATAAATGTGGATCTTTGAAGGAAAAAGGAATGAAGAATGACTTCTAGATTCTAGCTTTAGAAACAGGTGGATGGTGATGACATTTGCTGAGATAAGGAAGACACTATTTGGGGGAAAAATTCAAGAATTCAGCTCTGGTCAGTTTAAACTTAAATGTGTTGAGCTCAAGCAGGAATTCACATAAAATTCAACATCTCAGAGGAGGAGAGAGGGTTGGAGGTACACATTTGGCCACCCCTGACAAATAAATGGTACTTAAAATTGTGTAAATGGATAAAAACTATTAGGGATAGAGGGTAGAAAATGAAGAAAATAGAGCTCAACCCAAGTCCTCTGTGCTCCAACACTTAGAAGCAAGAGTCAAGTGCTTTAGAAGCCAAAAGGTAAAGAGTATTTTAGGGAAGGAGTAGTCAACCTTGTTCGATTCTGGGAAGAGGTCCAGTTAAATGAGGACTGAACACTGATTCAGACACATGAAGTTATTAGTAACCTTGGCAAGCACAGTCTCTTTGGATCGGTGACGTGAGAAGTCATACTTAAGTGACATGAAGAATAAATGGGAGGTATGGAAGTGGAGAAATGTGTAGGCAAATTTGTCAAGAAATTTGGCTATGATGTCCAGCAGAGCAATGAAATAGCTCCAGGGAGATATGGAGATAAGGGAGAACTTTATTTTTTTTAATAAACGATGGGAGATATTAGGGCATGTTCACTTGTGGATGGAATTGATGCAATATGTACAAGAGACTGGAAATGAAGAAGAGAAGGAAGTGAAGGAGTGATGATCTTGAAAACCTGAGAGGTGCTGCGCTTTATGTCATATAGCAAAGTCAAAAAGAGAAACAGTTGAGATCTTTCTAGAATTAGTAAAAGCCACATTTTCAGATTCAGAAAAGCTAAGTGAGTCTCAAACCTGGTAAATTAAAAAATAATCTAACCTATATAGATTATATAGAAACTGCAGAATACCAAAGGACAAGCAAAATCCTAAAACAAAAAGAAAAACAACAAAAAAAACCCCCCCAAAAACAAACAGACAAAAAAACCCCAAGACCAAAAAAACCCCAACAGGTTATTTTTACAAAAGGACAGCAATTACGATGAAAACAGTTCTCTTCAACAAAAAGAAGCTAGTAGATTATGGAAAAATTTCAGCAAAGTGCTCAGAGAAAATTACTGCCAACCTAACTTCTATACCCAGCTAATTACCATTCAAGAGTGAGGATGAAGTAAAGATATTTTCCAGACAAATGCCAAGAGTGTTCACTCACAGATCCTCACTCAGAGAAATACAATGGGATATATATATCTGTAGGAAGCATTTTGAACCTAGTGGGAAAGAACAGGATTCAAGAAGCCATGTTGAGCAAGAAATTGGCAACAGGGTTTGATCTAATCAAGCTCTGTCTGCATAAGACAATAAGATGACTAATTTCAGGGGACTTAAAAACAAATTGAAAAAATGGCATGGGAGATTGGAGGGGCTTAAAAATGTTAAAGCATTCTACGGTTCTCATCATTTGGGGTATGTAAGTAGTGCTACTAATTAACTGACGAAGATTTTAAGTTAATTACACATGTTTTAGAATTTTGAGTATATGCAGAAAGAGTGGGATGGAATCTATAAAATGTGTAACAGAAAAAGAAATAAAGATTTGATCAAGCCAATAAAAAGAAAGAAGGAAACAAAGCCATAAAAAAGCACAGTAAGTACAGGGGGAAAAGAAAAAAGAAAAATCCTTATACATCTCTAATCATATCAGTGGCCATAACATCAAATAAAAGACAGAAATTTTCAGATATTCATAAAACTTTTGCAAGAAATGCACTCAAAACATAACGTAATAGAAATGCTGAAAGTGAAGGAATAGAAAAAACATACAGAGCAAATAGCTAGCCAACAGAAACCCCAAATAAATATCTGATATAAAAATATATTTTCTTTATTAGTGATAAAGATGGTCATTACATAATAATTAGAGATTTAATTTTACCCTAAAG